GACTACAACTACGACTACGACTACGACTACGACTACGGCTACGACTACGACTACTACTACTACTACTACTACTACTACTGCTATTGCTACTGCTACTGCTACTGCTACTGCTACTGCTACTGCTACTACTACTACTACGACGACGACTGCAACTACTGCTACCACTACAACTACTTAGTAGTAGTAACTACGACGACGGCTGCCACGAGTACTGCTGCTGCTGGTGCTGCTTCCACCACCGCAGTACTGCCTACAACCATCAGGTTAGGATTCGTTTTGCTTCCTGTTCGGATTCAGATTTCGAAGATAGTTGTCTCCACAGACCTCTACTTCAATCCCACTCTTTCACACTTCAGTTTAAAACGCACCCTGCGGCTGGCCATGACGAGCCAGAGTGGTCGGGTGGTATGGGGTGGCAAAATTGCCCTTTCTTGCGGAGCCCTCTTTCGCAACAGAGGGTCACACAGTGCCAGGATGTGCATGTCAGTGCATCTAACCCGACGTGAGCTACATGGGTTTGTAACGATGAAGGTCCTGACGCTACTGTGGGCCAGGTGAGCAAGCCGCCAGGAGCTGATGTTCGCTATGCGCAGGGGCCTTGTCGATGGACTGTGGCAGCAGTGCCGTCTCCGTGCGACAGAGACCCAGGTTCTTTAAGGACAATGCTGCTGACCGAACGTTAACAGCTAGGACAGGTATGGGATTGGCACTGTGGCAGGCGTTTTGAACAAGTGCTGTAGGCAGAAGTAGTGTTATGGCATGTTATGGCATCGCTGTCCAGAAGCATGCGCTGAAAACTAGATGTGCGACATTCAAGGGCAGCTGGCTGCATTGAGAGGCCTTTTCTCGGGCTTGTTAGTGTCACGGATTGCAAAAAAACTTCGATTGCAGGACCGTCGGCAATGCATTGGCAGCAAAGTCGTTCGGAGCTGTCCATGTCAGCATGGGAGCATCAATCTCAGCATTGATGCATCTTGATGGCGAGACAGGCTTTCGGTGCATGCACAAGGATTACTAAAAGCTGCTTGTGTACATGCCGCAACGAGTCTGGATCAGCAGTGTTGGTGAGCTCGCCGAACTATGTATCCACGCACACATAAATTTTTACGTCGTGTATGTGTGTGCACGTCTGGAGCTTGCATGTTGCACGTCGCATGTTATGCTGGATGCAGCAGTTACACTGGAAACAAGAGACGATGCGAATGCAGCTGAGGGCTCTAGCAACGGCTTTGGCCAAAGAAAGTCGAGCAGGTTGGGGCAGGTTCTCTCAGGAGAGTCCATGGATGCGGTTTCGGGGCAGCACGAGCCATGTCGCACAATGCAGACACGGGTGTGAACTTGTTCTTGGGGTTGCGACTGCCTGACAACACTGCCTACAACATTCGCCCATGACATGTCACAGACGTTACTGGCATGTATTGCCGAACTTCAGCTGCCTCAAACTACGACGGCGACAATCCCAAACCGCATCCCGCAGGAAGCAGTCTGCCGTTGTGCCCGCAATGGAAAGAGGCTTGATATGTAAGAGTCCACCTGGAGGGATGGAAAATATTGCGATTCCGATGCCCGAAACAGGCCAAGCAATGCATGCAGGCAACATGCACATAGTATGCGGATCTGGCAACTCTACAATGAATATGAAGAAAATGTCTGAGCATTCCAAAGACACAAGGGAGGTCTATGGAGCTTGTAACCCTGACGTTGCCGACCGCGCAACCCTCGATCAACTGGTGCGTTGCTTGGTGTGCACACAGAAATGCCGTGGGCGGGCAGCCCGAGACCCGAGGCCTCAGCCAAAAAACCCACGCAGTTTGTTACGTAAGGCCAAGAGAGAGAGAGAGAGAGAGAGAGAGAGAGAGAGAGAGAGTGTCCGTAGCCATTTTGGCTCAAGCCATTTTGGCTCAAGCCGTGAGCGGTTCAAGCCCGTGGGGGGCCCTCCGTGAGCCCTCTCTCCTTACTACTTCTTAGCCCCCCACGGGACAACCATTCTTCTCCCTTCCGCTCCGCCTTGTCTCTCAGTTTTCTTCCGCCGCATTGCAGAAGGGGGACTTCGGCTTCTTCGCGTTCTTCATCGCCAAGGCTGCCCTCCGCGAGTACGGTGACTACGGAGCCCGGGGGTGACCGCCGCTGTTCTGCTCATCAGGGACTTTGCCTCCCACTTCCCGAGGGAAATCGGCGACACATCGCTTGGAGGACCACCGGGGTGCGATTCTCGGCTACTTCTGCGGGTCGCTCAGTTTGACTCCGTTGTGCAACGTGACACCTCTTCCACGGCACCGAGAATAACATCGTCACCTACAGCATGGCCCCAAGGCAGGGGGAAAGCCCCAAAACTAACCAACGGCAGGGGAGAGAAGGAACCTTAGTATTTCCCCGTGCAGCAGGAGGCATGTGGAAGGTCCAAGGAGGGGTCATCACTCACGAACCGAGTTTGGACCAGCCTGCGACAAACCTGGCCCACCAAGCCAGAGCCAGGACCTCGTCGACCGCTTCGTCTTCCAGNNCCCCCCCCCCCTCCCCCCCCCACTTCCGAGGTCATGGCCGAGAAGAAGAAAAAGAAAAAATCCAAGAAGCGCAAGAGGTCGGTGAAGGACGAGTCCACGCCTCCCACTACCAACATCGTCTCAACGCTGACGACGGATGATCCCCTCTTGGGACCCCTTGTTGACATACTGGGGGAAGCAGAGACAACCCAGGGGAACGCGGCCCCCTCTCTTCAACCTGAAGTACCTGTACCACCCGACCTACCTGGGCCACCTGTACTCCGAGAACGGCATGACCACCTTGCACAACCGCAGGAAGGTGCTTTCCCTGACAGCCGTGATGGAATCGCAGGGGAAAGAAAAGAAGAAGCGAAGGCCACTTCCTCTCCCTCATCGACTACACCCTCGACTTTCTTCAGGGGGACCTCCCCAATCACTGCTGGAGCAGCCCGGGCAGTACCTTATGACGAACTGCCTGCAGAGACAAAAGCTGCCATGGCCAAGCGTGCCTCACTACACTCAAGGGCAAGAGTAAAAATTGAAGCTCCTCCCTCGGTTGACAACATCAACGTGACGACCCAGCCCTTCGACACCCACGAGCACGACCACGAGAAGGTGCCGGGAACGTCCTCCGCGGCCGAAGAGGCTCTTGAATCATGCCAATCGGGGCTACACCCCAATGAAGATGTCTTCGATGACGCGCACTATGTTGCCGGAGAAAGTTTCCGCTTGATTGAGCCACCATGGTTTCAGGAGCAAGCCAAATATGAGCCCGATGACGCTGACCAACCATCGGGGGAACCTCTGCTGGCACCTGCTGTTACATACGACCAACCGAAGGATGAACCCGGGGAAGACCTCGACTATGACCCCAACTATGAGGTGGACTACACGGGGGACACCGCCGATCATGCAGGGGGCGACCCCCTTGGTACGAGACCTGCGGAACCAGCGGGGGCCCCCTCTGGCCTCACACCGAGGCAAACGCAGCGACTTCAGCAGCTCCTTTCAACTGGGAGACTCAGTCGGCTAAACGACGAGGAAACAGACCTCATGGTATGGAAGCGCTACCGGGACGAGTCCAAGCAGAACTACCGTGCACACAGAAGAACCAAGCGCCGTTACGGGGAATGGACCCCCGACCTACAGCGCCGACGATGAGCCGGGAGTGAATGCTGAAGAAAGCAATGACTGCATGGAGTGAGGGGCAACCCTTAGACCGGGCTGAATCTTCCGCTTTTGTTAATTCGTCCAGACCGTCTTCTCGATTTTGGTCCACTACGTAGCGGGGCTTCCCTGTGACCTCCTGCTTTAGGGGACCTTTGACCCTTGTGACATAGCTACAGGGGCTTTCTTTTCCGCTCGATCAAAGCCAGCTAGGGGGTCTTTAAGCCCCTTCCTCTCCGAACTGTGATTTTGAGATAACTTGAGCCTGAGCTCAGTTGTACAATATGACGGGCCGCTGAGCCAACCTCCATTTCGCTCCAAAGCCCCTCACGGGCTCCCAGCACCTTTTTCCGAACGCTCCAAAGGGGCTGTTGCCCCACCAAAGTGTTTACTTCACTTCTCAACGGGGCCTAGCCCCATGCAGGCTGGACGGACATTTCTGTGCGATCGGGGGGCAACCCCTTCAATCCAATCGATTGCACTTTCCCTTCTTTTTGCATCTCTCACCTCTGGCACACGCAAATGGCGGGGGCGCACCTGCGCGC